ACGGTTTCATCACCATCAGCAACCGATTCGGCAGCTTCGCCGCAATCTATCGTCGGGGATTCGACGTCATGGTCAAGACTTGAAGAGCTCGACCCATTGACGTTCACGGACTTCCAGTGGATGCCCGTTCCCTCGACCGAACGATTGCCGAAACCGCATTGCAACGTGCTTATGGCACAATTGCGGGACTACTTGCACACTGCAGTACCAGCTCCGTTGATGGACGCTGGAGCAGAGGTTGTCGACCTTCTTGCGTAAATCGCGAAGATCGACCGCGAGTTCAAGACGCAACGGTACGACGACATCGACGCACCATTGCTATACGTACGAATTCAGATCGGAAAGGCGACCTGCAATGCCTTGATCGATTGCGGAGCATCTCGCAACTACATCAGCCAGGACTTCATGGTGCGCTCCGACCTTGGCCCACGCGTCCGGAGGAAGCCCCAGCCTACGCAAGTCACGTTGGCAGACGGTCATACGCACAAGTCAATTGACCGGTGCATTGACGCCGTCCCCGTGTACTTTGCCCCTCACGCAAGTGAGGCGGTGTCCTTTGATATTCTGGACACCAAATTTGACATGATCTTGGGCATGTCATGACTGCGAAGCGAGGATCACTTGGTGAACTTCTTCAAACGCACCGTTCACATTCGTGATCGGAACGGAGTATTAGTTCCATGCACAGTGCCCCTTCCTCATCCTTCGATCAACTGCCACGTGGTATCCGCCGCAAGCATGCGAAGCTTCCATCATCAGAGACGACATCGAGGAGATGGGGGTGTGTTTTCTCCACGCCCTCCCGCCCCATGACGCTTCATCGACGGACTCACCTTCGGATCCACGCATCACCGAGTTTCTCGACGCCTATAGCGACGTGTTCGAAGGCCCGCACGGAGTAGCACCGGATCGACCCATCCGCCACGAGATCATCCGCGAGGACGGGGCCGTATCTCCGCGCGGTTGCATCTACCGAATGAGTGAGGAAGAGTTAAGTGTGCTTCGGGCACAACTCGACGAACTTCTGGAGAAAGGTTGGATTCGGCCTAGCTCATCGCCATACGGTGCTCCCGTTCACTTCGTCCGGAAGAAGAACAAGGACCTGCGGTTGTGCATCGATTATCGCAAGCTCAACGCGCAGACGATCAGGAACGCCGGCCCTTTCCCACGCATCGATGATCTTCTCGAGCGATTGGGCGGCGCCCAGTTTTTCTCTAAGTTGGATCTCAAGTCAGGGTACCACCAACTCGAGATTCGCAAGGAGGAATCGCTACAAGACCGCGTTCAAGACACGATATGGGCATTTCGAATGGCTGGTTATGCTTTTTGGCCTTACGAATGCCCCGACCACTTTCCAAGCGGCTATGACAACGGAGTTCTAACACATGCTGGATCGATACGTACTTATCTACCTCGGCGACATCCTGGTGTACAGTCGGAGTTTGGAGGAGCATGTGGAACACTTGCGCACCGTTTTGGAGCGGCTACGACAGACCAAGTACAAAGCCAACCGCGACAAGYGTGAATTCGCGCGGCAGGAGCTGGAGTACTTGGGCCATTATGTAACGCCACAAGGCATCCGTCCGCTCGCGGACAAGATCGAGGCCCTACGAGTATGGCCCGAGCCCACCAACACCACGGACATTCGTTCATTCATGGGATTGGCGGGCTACTGTCAGCGATTCATCACCGGATACTCCAGGATTGCTGCACCTATGACGAGGTTACAGTCGCCAAAGGTGCCATTCGTATTCGATGACGACGCACGCCGGTCATTCCAAGCACGTAATACGGCCATGCTCATGGCACCCGTCCTCAGCATCTATGACCCCACCTTGCCGACGAGAGTGACTACGGGCGCTTCCGGCTATGGCATTGGGGCAGTCTTGGAACAGCACGACG